AAATCTGCTGATGAGGTCACAGACCATGAACCGCTAAGGGCTTTCATGATCACCTGCCACTCATTCTTGGCCCGGTGAGTCCAGAAAAGGGCATTAGGTCGCCAGCCAGCCCATGAAAAAAGAGCCTGGATGATAACCTCTGCGCCTCGGGGACGGGGGCGATCAACGTCATCCCGTCCCCGCCGCTATCAGAAGGATCTCAGAAGGTCTTAAAAAATAAGAAAGGCAATGATGGGGTCTTCTCACACACACACACGCACACCCCCGTTCGAATTCCAGAGTTATTCTTCATCAGAACTCATAAAGTTATGAGTTTGTTCATTTGGAGCGTGGAATTTTCCAGAATTGGCCTTGGCAGGGGAGTGGATTGAACATAAAAATTGTCCCTTTTCAATTCATGGCGAGGACACGTAGTCCTTGACTTACAACTATTTGTTTAGTGGCCGTTCAAAGTCATCACGGCGCTGAAAAAAGGGAGTTATGACGGTTTTTCACCCTTGTGGATGTCTGCAAGAAGACAACCAAACTCAGAGCACCAAGGATCCCAAAATCCTTCTCCCACTCGTCACCCTTCATCCTTCCTCCTCCTCCTCCTCCTCCTCCTCCTCCTCCTCCTCCCAACAGTGATGATGTTACCTTGTTGGGTCATGAAACGTCTGCAAGAAAAAAACCCTGCTGAGAGAGCACGAAAGACCCCCCCACACTCCTCCTGCCCCCTTCACCCTTCTTCCTCCTCCTCCCCACCTCCTCCTAACAGTGATGATGATGATAATAATAATAATAAAGTTGGAAGGGATCTTGGAGGATGATGATGATGATGGTGATGATGATGATGATGATGGTGATGATGATGATGATGATAATAATAATAATAATAATAATAATAATAATAATAATAATAATAATAATAATAATAATAATAATAATAATAATAATAATAATAATAAAGTTGGAAGGGACCTTGGAGGTCATCTAGTCCAACCCCCTGCTCAGGCAGAAAACCCTATACCATTCCAGACAAATGGCTGTCCAGTCTCTCCTTAAAACCTTCCAGTGTTGGAGCATTCACCGCTTCTGGAGGCAGGTTGTTCCACTGGTTAATTGTTCTGTCAGGAAATTTCTTCTTAGTTCTAGGTTGCTTCTCTCCTTGATCAGTTTCTCCATCCGTTGCTTTTTGATGATGTTACCTTGTTGGGTCATGAAACATTTGCAAGAAGAGAGAGCACGAAATACCTCCACAGTCCTTCTCCTCCCCTTCACTCTTCCTCCTCCTCCCCCTCCTCCTCTTCCTCACAATCCTCCTCCCTTCTAGCACTGATGATGTTCCCTAGCTGGGTCATGAAATGACTGCAAAAAAATAACCAAGCTCAGGGAACACCAAAGACCCCACAGTCCTCCTCCTCCCCTTCACCCTTCTTGCTCCTCCATCCCCACCCTCCCCCCTCCTCCTCCTTCCAACACTGATGATGTTACCTTGTTGGGTCATAAAACAGAGAGCACCAAGGACCCCACAGTCCTTCTCCTCCCCTCCTCCTCCCTCACTCCCATTCGGCTGGGGAATTCTGGGAGTTGAAGTCCACCTCGCTTGGTTGAAAAAGATTGAAACCCTCTGCTCAAAATGGAATGTATTTTGGAATTTTTAAAAAATAAGCACATTCTTTAAAAAAAAAGTTGAAGATTGCCCCATTATTGTTTTGGGAAAAGTAATTGCTAAGATGTAGAAGTCCAAAATTTGTTAGAATAGAATAAAGCTGGAAGGGACCTTGGGGGTCTTCTAGTCCAGCCCCCTGCTCAAGCAGGAGGACCTATACCATCTCAGACAGGTGATTGTCCAGTCTCTTTTTAAAAACTTCCAGAGATGGAGCGCCCACGATTTCTGGTGGCAAGCAGTTCCACTGGTTGATTGTTCTCACTGTCAGGAAGTTTCTCCTTAATTCCAGGTTGCTTCTCTCTCTGATCAGTTTCCATCTGTTGCTTCATCATCATCATCATCATCATCATCATCATCATCATCATCATCATCATCATCATAATAAAGTTGGAAGGGACCTTGGAGGTCATCTAGTCCAACCCCCTGCTCAGGCAGGTAACCCTATACCATTTCGGACAAATGGCTGTCCAGTCTCTTCTTAAAAACTTCCAGTATTGGTGCATTCACCGCTTCTGGAGGCAGGTTGTTCCACTGGTTAATTGTCCTCACTGTCAGGAAGTTTCTCCTTAGTTCTAGGTTGCTTCTCTCTTTGGTTAGTTTCCACCCATTGCTTCTTGTCCTGCCTTCAGGCGCTTTGGAGAAGAGCTTGACTCCCTCTTCTTTGGGGCAGCCCCTGAGACACTGGAAGGCTGCTATCATGTCCCCCCTCGTCCTTCTCTTCGTTAAACTAGACATACCCAATTCCAGCAACTGTTCCTTTTGTTTTAGCCTCCAGTCCCCTGATCCTCTTTGTTGCTCTTCTCTGCACTCTTTCTAGAGTCTCAACATCTTTTTTACATCGTGGTGACCAAAACTGGATGCCGTATTCCAAGTGTGGCCTTACTTGTCCTGCCTTCCGGGGCTTTGGAGAATAGCTTGACTCCCTCTTCTTTGGGGCAGCCCCTCAAATACTGGAATAATTGCTATCATGTCTTCCCTATTCCTTCTTTTCTTTAGACTAGCCAAACCCAAATCCTGCAGCCGTTCTTCGTGTGTTTTGATCTCCAGGCCTTGGATCATCTTAGTTGCTCTTCTCTGATTTTTTTTCAGACTCTCAACATCTTTTTTGTGATATGTTTTTTTTGTGTGTGTGTGCTATGATGTTAGCTATGGATCAGTCAGAATAATCAATGGTTCTGTCTTGGAAATCTTTGCCTCTCCTTACCAAATCTTTGACAGAAAGAGGCTTCAACTAAGAATCATTTGCCTAGACCTCTTCTCGGTGTAGTTTTATTTTATTCACGTATTAAAGTTATTTGCTGCCTAGGCATCGTTGTCAATATATTGGAAGGAGAATCAGAAAACCTTCTACGTTCTCCAAGGTGAACTTTTGCTAAAGGGTTGACCTTCGGGCATTTGTTTTCCTGATCTGGCCAAGCTGATTTGAGAGTTAATAGGTGATCTTAATAGTCATGTTACATAACTTGGTTTGGGAGGGGAACTTTTCCTTCCAGCTTTTCAAACACTTTCCAAATTAATGATCTGAATCTTCTGCGTCGTCGCGTCAAGCATTGGCCAAACCGATGAACCGGTAAACCGTTCAGCTGGACACTAAGCGCCCGAGGTGTTGAAATATTTTTGATTGGGAAGGGGGGAAATGACCGTTGCAAAAAGGGACCCAGGGTCTTTTACTGCTCCCCCCACCCCGGGGCAGATGTCAAAGAACCCAGCCTTTATACATTATTGTTTTCCTTCAAATGATGCTTGTGGTTATTTCCAAGTTTGTTTGTGGATTCTCGGGGATCGATTCTGTACAACTCAAGGCCCACCATTTATTCTATAATTCCCCCCCCCCTTTTTTTTTGGCTCCCAAACCAAAGTTAAGTCTGCTTAGTTAACAATCTGAAGAAATCCCAGCCCTTTCCAGGAATTAACAGAATAAAAGAATAGAATAACAGAATAACAGAGTGGGAAGGGATCTTGGAGGTCTTCTAGTCCAACCCCTTGCTCAGGAAGGAAACCCTATACCACTCCAGACAAATGGCTGTCCAGTCTCTTCTTAAAAACTTCAAGTGTTGGAGCATTCACAGCTTCTGGAGGCAGGTTGTTCCACTGCTTAATTGTTCTAACTGTCAGGAAGTTTCTCCTTAGTTCCAGGTTGTTTCTCTCCTTGATGAGTTTCCATCCGTTGCTTCTCATCCTGCCTTCAGGGACTTTGGAGAACAGCTTGACTCCCTCTTCTTTGGGGCAGCCCCTGAGATACTGGAGCACTGCTATCCTGTCCCCCCTCGTCCATCTCTTTGTTAAACTAGACATACCCAATTCCAGCAACCGTTCCTTGTATGTTTTAGCCTCCAGTCCCCTGATCATCTTTGTTGCTCTTTTCTGTACTCTTTCTGGAGTCTCAACATCTTTTTTACACCGTGGTGACTAAAACTGGATGCAGGATTCCAGGTGTGGCCTTACCAAGGCCTTGTAAAGTGGTATTAACACTTCATGTGATCTTGATGCAGCCCAGCACTGTATTGGCTTTTTTGGCAGCTGCAGCATACGGCTGACTCCTATTTAGGTGATTGTCCACTAGGACTCCGAGATCCCTCTCACAGTTGCTACTATTGAGCAAGGTACCCCCTATACCAGGCATGTCAAACTTGCGACGTCACGTGACGTCGCGCGACGTATCGGAGCTTTTTCGCCATTGCTGGCAATGGGGTGGGCGCAGCTCCGGTATGATGAAATCGGCCCACGGGCCGGCAGTTTGACACCCCTGCCCTATACTATAGCTGTGCATTTGGTTTTTCTTGCCTAAATGGAGAACCTTACTTTTTTCACCACTGAATTTCATTTTGTTAGATAGCGCCCAGTGTTCAAGTCTATCCAGATCCTCCTGTATCTTATCCTCCAGTCTTCTAGTTTAGTTGCTGGAGTATAAAACAGCACCTGGCATTTTTTCCCCGCCTTGTTTTGTGAGTTTTGTTTGCAATCAGAGCTATAGTTGCTAGCCAGTTACTTAAGCTCAACACAGGGGTGTAACTACAATTGCATTATTTCCAACCATTTTGAGGCAAAAACAAAACAAAACCACACACAGCAACCACACTCCCTGTTGAGCGAGTTACAACATTCATTTATTTATTTGTTCAACGTATTAAGCCGTAATCTTACCAGGCCGGTTCTATTTTCTGTCCAAGTTACTCAGCCAATAAAAGGAGTGAAGAAAGAGGGAAGCTAACCTCACTTAGCAAGTCACGCAGAAACTGTCCAGACACTTGGGTGTTGTGTGAACACAGCTACACTGTTGATTTTGTACGTTTCACACCGGGGGGAATTTGACGCGGAGGTTTCACAAAATTTGAATGGGAGGGGGGGGTATGGAGCCTTGGCATCGGCTGGCATGGAAAATGAAATAAAAGAAAAGCTGCAATCCATTATTAGGTCTGTTATTACGGTGCGCCGATCCAGAAGAGGCATACATTTGCAAGCTTTCTGACCGTTTCCTTTTCGAACTTCTTTGCTAGCCCATGCAGGTCAGGTGGAAGTTGCCAACAGGAAATTTTGCCTGCAGTTCATGATCAAGCTGGAAGGAAGAAGGGAAGAAGGACCATCATTTTTTGTATGTGAGCTTGTATGAATAGAATATGATAGAATAGAATAGAATAGAATAGAATAGAATAGAATAGAATAGAATAGAATAGAATAGAATAGAAAGACAGAATGGAATATAGAAAGAATAGAATAGAATAGAATAGAATAGAATAGAATAGAATAGAATAGAATAGAATAGAATAAATATAGAATAGAATAGAATAAATATAGAATAGAATAGAATAAATATAGAATAGAATAGAATAGAAGAAAGAGAAAAGAGAAGAGAATACGAAGAGAGTAGAATAGAGTAGCGTAGCGTAGAGTAGAGCAGAAAGACAATAGAATAGAATAGAATAGAATAGAATAGAATAGAATAGAATAGAATAGAGTAGAGTAGAGTAGAGTAGAGTAGAGTAGAGTAGAGTAGAATAGGAGCTGGAAGGGACCTTGGAGGTCTTCTAGTCCAGCCCCCTGCTCAAGCAGGAGAACCTATACCATTTCAGACAAGTGACTGTCCAGCCTCTTCTTACAGCAGTACTGAAAAAAGTAACTTACGACCAGTTTTCACACTTATGACGTTTGCCGCATCCCCGTGGTCATGGGATCAAAATTCGGACGCTTGGCAACCGACTCATATTTACGATGGACGCAGTGTCCCCCCGGGGTCACATGATCCCCTTTGGCGACCTTCTGACAAGCAAAGTCAATGGGGGGGGAGGCCGGATTCACTTAACAACCGGGTTACCAATTTAACTGCAGTGATTCACTTAACAACTGTGTCAAGAAAGGTCGTAAAATGGGGCAAAACTCACTGAACCACCGTCGGGCTTATCGACATAAATTTTGGGCTCAGCTGTGGTCATAAGTCGAGGACTCTCTGTACTGTTCCTCACTGATAGACAGAATCTTGCCAAAGGAAAGCAGACAGTCACTCATGCTCTGGTCACCTCCCGCCTGGACTACTGTAATGCTCTCTACATGGGGCTTCCCTTGAGGAGCACCCGGAGGCTCCAGCTAGTCCAAAATGCGGCCGCACGGGCGGTGTTGGGAGGGACTCGTCGCTCCCACGTAACACCGCTGCTGCGCGAGCTGCATTGGCTGCCGGTGGCCTTCCGGGTGCGCTNTGGGAGCTCCCACCCTCTGGAATGAGCTACCCCCAGAGATCAGGGTGATCCCTGATCTCCCTTCCTTCCGCCGCGCCCTCAAGACATGGCTATTCCAACAAGCGGGACTGGCCTAGGGCAATTTTTAAGAGGGGTTTTTAGAGGGGTTTTTAATCATATTTTAATCAGACAATTTAAATATTTCATTTTAATTAATTTTTAATTTTGTGAATGTTATTGGTGTTTTTAATTGATTGTCAGCCGCCCTGAGTCCGCAAGGAGAAGGGCGGGATATAAATTCGAATAATAAATAAATAAATAAATAAACAACTTACACCATTAAATACAGATTCTGGGAACAGTTAGGGAGGCGCCGTCCTCAGCCTCATTCTCATACATTATCTAGACTGCGCTGTCTTTTGTCCTCTGGAAGGCTGCCCTTCCCTCCTGGGAATCCAGACCGCATTCCACCACACCTACCACTTAACAAATGCCTTTATAGGGAAGGTTTTGCTCGGAAAAGCGGGACATAAATTCCAGAAAAGGCAATTACGCTTTTGGGCAACGTCTTATTATAGCAATAGCAATAGTTACTTAGACTTTATATACCGCTTCTGTTGGGGAGGAACTCAATCCTCCCCCAGCCCCTTCCAGATGTTTTGTAAAGCCTTACCCACTTTAGCATCGCCCGACGGACGGACAGATCCGCGATGTTTAAAGGAGTGCTGAATCTCACCGACAGGATGAAACGGTTCCTGGCTGCAAGGATCAAACACAGATTAAAAAAAAATACAGCTAGTCCTTGACTTATAACGATCTGCTTAGTGACCGTTCAAAGTTACAACATGAAAAAAGGGACTGACGACGGTTTTCCCCACTTACGACGGTTGCGGCACCCCCCCTGGTCACGTGATCAACATTCAGACACTTGGCAACAGACTCTTATTTGTGACGGTCGCAGTGTCCCGGGGTCATGTGATCACTTTTTGCGATCTTCGGATAAGCAAACTCAACGGGGAAGCCAGTTTCACTTAACCACCGGGTTGCTAATTTAACCACTGCAGTGATTCACTTAACAAACGTGGCAAGAAAGGTTATAAAATGGGGCAAAACTCACTTAACAACTGTCTGGTTTGTTGACATAAATTTTGGGCTCCATTGCGGTCGTAAATCAAGGACTATCTGTATTGTTCCTCACTTATGGACAGAATCTTGCCAAAGTAGACAACTTGCACCATTAAATATAGATTCAGGGATCTGTTAAAGAGGAGCCATCTTCATCCTCATTCTCATATACCAGGGGTAGGCAACCTTGGCTCTTTTATGACTGGTGGACTTCAACTCCCAGAATTCCTGAGCCAGCATGGGGGAACTACGGCCCCCTCATGACTCGTGGACTTCAACTCCCAGAATTCCTGAGCCACCATGGCTCAGCTTGGAAACCTCTCCCTTTCCCCTCAGCTTGGCTGGCTCATGAATTCTGGGAGTTGAAGTCCACGAGTCATAAAAGAGCCAAGGTTGCCTACCCCTGATCTAGACTGCACTGTCTCTTGTCCTCTGGAATGCTGCCCCTCCCTCCTGGGAATCCAGACCACATTCCACCACACCTTCTCCGGATGAGTGCTGAGGGAGAGCAGGCCGTCAATGGGGAAACCAGATTCACTTTACAACCGTGTTACTAACTTAACAACAGCAGCGATTCACTTAACAATCACAGCGATTCAGTTAATAACGGCAGCGAGAAAGGTTGTAAAATGGGTCAAAACTCACTTCACGACTGTCTTACTTAGTAATACAAAATTTTGGTTTCAACAACTACCGCTACGCTCCTTAATTCTACATCTTGTTTCAATCCCTTTATACAGATCGTTCGAGACGATTCGGCACGTGACCGTTCTCTACACACACCTAAATATATCCAGCCTGACGTAACACAGGCCCAGGTTGAGGATTGCAATTCTGTACCTGAATTGAACCAGCAACTGAAGGAAATTTTGAAAAATGAGGATTTTTAGGATCCTCGTACCTCTTTCAAATTCAGAAGAATTCAACCGTTCAGACACAGGGGGATGCTTACCTGGAGTTTTGGAGAGACCTTCTGAAGCTGAGGGAGATGGGGAAATGGAAGAAAGGACTTTCAATGTCATTGGAAGACTTTGACTTGTGGGATTTGTGGAGGATGGACCAGATAGTCCCAGGCTGGACCTTCCTGGGTTGGAAGACAGAAGACCAACAGATGTAGCTTTTGGGGTGCTTCTGTCTTGAGTAACGGAAGAGTAGGTTGAGGAGAGAGAGCTTCCCGGCCACCAGCTAGTGACCTCAGCCTCAGAAGTCATGGTAACTTCTGAAGAGCCAGTTGTGTCTCCAACTCCAGAAATGCCACTTGTAGGTGTGGAGGTCACTAATGTTGAAGTAAGAAGGGGAAGCAACGGGGAGGTTGTAATTGTCTCAGTTGTGAGAGGAAGAGAACGAGCGTGTTTCTCACTCGGGGTTTCTACTGTTGAGGTGGTGGAGATGGTGGTCAGTGGTCCTTCAGATGTCATATTGTCTTGGGGAGTTGGAGGACGAGAGCTGGAATTCATCTCCTGTGTCGTGGACCTGATGACGAGCATGGTTGACTCTGATGGGAGACTCGTCCCTTCTTTGGAAGGACCCCCAAAAGAAGTGCTGGGGATGGAGGTCATTGCAAGGGATGACGAAGACACAGTGACATCCGGGGTACCAGCAGATGTGGATCCTTCAGGTGAAGAAGAGGAGAGAAGCATTGTGGCTTCTCCAGGGAGACTTCTTTCTCCAAGGGTGCTCCACGGACTGGAGAGAAGAGCCTCGGAAGAGGGGAGGAACTCTGTGGTCTTCAGTGATGGTGTGGTAGTTTCCATGCCACCAGTGGTGTCAGACATGGGTGTGAAAAGGTGTGGCAGTGACGTGGGCACACGTGTTGGAGGAAAAGTTGTAAGCTTGGTTGTGGTTTCTCCTGAAAGGAAAGGAGACAAGTTTCTTTTGTGATGATCACCTCTTGCATTACACTTGATCAACTCTGCGTTGGCCAACAAAGACTAGGAGGTAACATGATACCTGTGTTCCACTATCAAAGGGGCTGCTACAAAGAAGGGGGGTGGTGTTGACATATTCTCCAAAGCTCCTGAAGGCAGGACAAGAAGTAAAGGATGGAAACTAACCAAGGAGAGAAGCAACCTACAAATAAGGAGAAACATCCTCCCAGTGAGGACAATCAAACAGCAGAACAACCTGCCTCCAGAAGCTGTGGGTGCTCCATCACTGGAGGCTTTCAAAAAGCAACTGGACAATCATTTGTCTATAATGGTATAGGGTCTCCTGCTTGAAGGAAGACCACTAAGGTCCCTTCCAACTCTGTCCTTCTGGATTGCAGATAGATAAAGCAGGAAGAGGTCTCTAAAGACCTCCCCCTTAAGCCGACCGAGTTTCATTTTGAGCTTTTGCACCAGCTGTGCATGGAAATGCTTTCCTAGTCTTAGGATGGCCAAGTATTGACCCAGCGGGGACGCTTACCTGAAGTTTGAGGGAGACTCGTGAAAGCTGAGGGAGATGTGGTGATGGAAGGAACAACAGTGATGGTGGTTGCAGGACCTTCACTTGAGGGAGTTGTGGAGGACGGAGTAGATAGTCCCAGGCTGGACCTTCCTGGTCTAGAAGACAGAAGACCAGTAGATGAAGCTTTTGGGGTGCTTCTCTCTTGAGTAACGGAAGAGTAGGTTGAGGAGAGAGAGCTTCCCGGCCACCAGCTAGTGACCTCAGCCTCAGAAGTCATGGTAACTTCCAAAGAGCCGGTTGTGTCTCCAACTCCAGAAGTGGCACTCAGAAGTGTGGAGGTCGCTAATGATGAAGTAGGAAGGGGAACTGACGAGGGGGAGATTGTCATTGTCTCAGTTGTGGTAGGAGGAGAACTAGCATGTTTCTCACTCGTGGTTTCTTCTTGTGACGTGGTGGAGATGGTGGTGGATACATCTTCAGATGTCATCTTGTCTTGGGGAGTTGGAGAATGAGGGATGGAGATGGTGTCCTCTGTGGTGGAGCTGATGATGAGCATGGTTGACTCTGTTGGCTGAGTGGTCCCTTCTTCGGAAGGACCCCCAAAAGCAGTGCTGGAGGTGGAGGTCATTGCAAGGGATGAAGAAGACGCAGTGATATCTGAGGTGCCAGCAGGAGTGGAACCTTCAGGTGAGGAAGAGGAGAGCAGCGTTGTGGCTCCTCCAGGGAGACTTGTTTTTCCAACGGTGCGCCATGGATTGGTCGTGTCAGAGAGAAGAGCCACGGAAGAGGGGAGGAACTCTGTGCTCTTCAGTGCTGGTGGGGTAGTTTTCATGCCACCAGTGGTGTCAGACACGGATGTGAAATGATATGGCTCTGATGTGGACATACTTGTTGGAGGAGAAGTTGTGACCTGAGTTGTGGCTTCTGCTGAAAAGAAAGGAGACAGGTTATTTTTGTGCTGACCAACTCTTGCATTGACCAACACTCAATCAACCCTGCGTTGATGAAGAAAGACTAAGGGTGATATGGTAGCAGTCTTCCAACATCTCAGGGGCTGCCACAAAGAAGAGGGAGTCAAGCTATTCTCCAAAGCACCTGAAGGCAGGACAAGAAGCAACAGATGGAAACGAATCAAGGAGAGAAGCAACCTGGAATTAAGGAGGAATTTCCTAATAGTGAGGACAATTCACCAGTGGAAACACTTGCCTCCAGAAGTTGCGGGTGCTCCAACACTGGAGGCATTCAAAAAGAGAGTGGACAACCCATTTCTCTGAAATGGTGTAGAGTCTCCTGCTTGAGTAGAAGACCTCCAAGGTCCCTACCAAATCTGAGCTTTTGCAGCCAGCTGCACTTTGCCAACTCCCAGTGTAGGGCCACCACCAGGTCTATGCGTTGGTGGGCCTACGACAACTCATCGTGGACAACTCGCCATGTCCGACTTGCTGTGGAACAACTGGCCCTGGGACAAGAGTTATACTAATATAGAAGAATTGGTGGAATACAATTATTAAAGCAAGGATGCCAAATGAAATGGGAATGACAACAATTAAAATAATTTTTAAAATTATTTTAAACCATTGAATTGTTGAATTGTCCTGCAGCGAGTTGCTGGTGGTGAGTTGCCCCATTCCATCACTCTCAATAAACCCAACACTCACCCCAAAGCCATCTTCCTGGAGCTAAGTTTCAAGGAAGTCCCCCCAAAGATGAGATGAACGTTGGACGTCTGCAGAAGAGGTTGGAAAGTTGTAATCTATTCAGAAAGCAGCGGGGCACCATCAAACTCTTATCCTAGATGAGGAGACACCCACACAGGTGGACCTTTCTGCCCTGAAAATCCTCCCTTCATCATTGCCAGATGTGCTCCTCAAAGGTGAGGGATCATCATGGGTGAGACACACATGGATCTTTGGGGTGATGGCCAGGCGTAGATCACAAGGATCACTGAAACAGGAAAGGATCTCCAAAGATCTTTCTCTTAAGCTGACCGAGTTTCATTCTGAGCATCTGCAACCAGCTGCGCATGGAAATGCTTTCCCAGAATTGTGGTCAACCATTCAGACAGGAGGACGCTTACCTGCAGTTTGAGGGAGACTCGGGAAAGCTGAGGGAGCTGTGGTGATGGAAGGAACAACAGTCATGGTGGTTGCAGGACCTTCACTTGAGGGAGTTGTTGAGGACGGAGTAGATAGTCCCAGGCTGGACCTTCCTGGGTTAGAAGACAGAAGACCAGTAGATGAAGCTTTTGGGGTGCTTCTGTCTTGAGTAATGGAAGAGTAGGTTGAGGAGAGAGAGCTTCCCGGCCACCAGCTAGTGATCTCAGCCTCAGAAGTCATGGTAACTTCCGAAGAGCCTGTTGTGTCTCCAACTCCAGAAGTGGCACTCAGAAGTGTGGAGGTCGCTAATGATGAAGTAGGAAGGGGAACCGATGAGGGGGAGATTGTCATTGTCTCAGTTGTGGTAGGAGGAGAACTAGCATGTTTCTCACTCGTGGTTTCTGCTTGTGACGTGGTGGAGATGGTGGTGGATACATCTTCAGATGTCATCTTGTCTTGGGGAGTTGGAGAATGAGGGATGGAGATGGTGTCCTCTGTGGTGGAGCTGATGATGAGCATGGTTGACTCTGTTGGTTGAGTGGTCCCTTCTTTGGAAGGACCCCCAAAAGCAGTGCTGGAGATGAAGGTCATTGCAAGGGATGAAGAAGACGCAGTGACATCTGAGGTGCCAGCAGGAGTGGACCCTTCAGGTGAGGAAGAGGAGAGCAGCGTTGTGGCTCCTCCAGGGAGACTTTTTTCTCCAACGGTGCTCCACGGACTGGTCGTGTCAGGGAGAAGAGCCACGGAAGAGGGGAGGAACTCTGTGCTCTTCAGTGCTGGTGGGGTAGTTTTCATGCCACCAGTGGTGTCAGGCACGGATGTGAAATTACGTGGCTCTGATGTGGACATACTTGTTGGAGGAGAAGTTGTGACCTGGCTTGTGGTTTCTCCTGAAAAGAAAGGAGATAGGTCACTTTTGTGTTGACTAACCCTCATGTTGACCAACTCTTGTGTTGACCAACAATTAATCAATGGAAGGGCTTGCCTCCAGAAGCCGTGGCTGCTCCATCACTGGAGGATTTTAAGAAAAGATTGGGCAGCCATTTGTCCAGAATGCTATAGGTCAGGGGTGGGCAACCTTGGCTCTTTTATGACTTGTGGACTTCAACTCCCAGAATTCCTGAGTCAGCATGGCTGGTTCAGGAATTCTGAGTATTGAAGTCCACAAGTCATAAAAGAGCCAAGGTTGCCTACCCTTGACATAGGTGATCCTGCTTGAGCAAGGGGCTGGACTAGAAGACCTTCAAGGTCCCTTCCAACTCTTATTCTCTTATTGTTATATTAGCCAACCCTTTACAGCTGTGACAACAGGTGCGGGTTTGTGCATGAACATTTCTCCTGCTCTAGCACAGGGGTCTTCAGACTTGGCCCTTTTATGACTTGTGGACTTCAACTCCCAGAATTCCTCAGCCAGCCTCCATTTTGTTTGTTAGATTTAAGACAGGGGTCTTCAAACGTGGCCCCTTCATGACTTGAGGACTTCAACTCCCAGAATTCCTCAGCCGGCATGGGGGAACTATGGCACCTTCATGACTTGCGGACTTCAACTCCCAGAATTCCTCAGACAGCCTCCATTTTGTTTGTTAGATTTAAGACAGGGGTCTTCAAACTTGGCCCTTTTATGACTTGTGGACTTCACGTGCCTGGCTGAGGAATTCTGGGAGTTGAAGTCCACAAGTCATTAAAGGGCCAAGTTTGAAGACCCCTGCTTGTGGACTTCAACTCCCAGAATTCCTCAGCCAGGCAAGCTGGCTGAGGAATTCTGGGAGTTGAAGTCCACAAGTCATAAAAGGGCCCAGTTTGAAGACCCCTGCTCTAGCACCACCACCACCGTCTGCTAGTGGTTGTAAATTGAGGACTATCTGTACTTTTATGCTTGAGTTGCAGTCTACACAAAGGCCGTCTTATAGATGAGGTCAAGCTGAAAAAACAAGTTGACAAGTTGACGGATTCCGTAGCGCATCACATCCACCCATTGCAGCTCTGTTTCGTTTTTATATTTCAAGCAAATTTAAAATGCAAGACAACTTCCAGCTTTCCTAAATACAGATGCAATTATATAATCAGGGAATTAATGAATTGAACAGCTTGGCTCCCGACGTTAGGGGCGCTCCATGTTTGGAGGTTTTCAAGGAGAGACTGGACAGCCATTTGTCTGAAATGGCATAGGGTCTCCTGCCTGAGCAGGGGGTTGGACTAGATGACCTCCAGGGTAGCTTCCCACCGTCTGACAGAATGATGGAACGCTTCTAGTCTCTTACAACTAAAGAAAGCATAACCCTTATCCAATTTTAAACCTAACAATGTCTACGGTATTTCCACACTCTTAAACAATTCGATCGGTCACGGATTCCAAAGGAATCAGCCGTCGTGATCAAACAGGATTGTAAAAATAATATCTAGTTTAAAAACCTAAACGAGGTTTTAGAATAACCATAATGTTCAATTTCAAAATCTCCATCCATTCGTTTTTTTAAAAATCTGCTTTTTTCTTACTCATTTTTACATTCCTCCATTCTATTGATCTATCATTTGTCCAAAATGGTCTAGGGTTTCTTGCCTGAGCAGGAGGTTGGACTAGATGACCTCCAAGGTCCCTTCCAACTTTATCATCATTATTATTATTATCTTTCCCTCCCTCCCCTTTTCCCTTTCTCTCCCTGTCTCCCTTCTTTTCCTTCCTTCCTATCTTCCTTCCTTTTTCTGTCTCCCTCCATTCCTTCTTTCCTTTCTTTTCCTTCCTTCCTCCCTTTTTCTCTTTCTTTCTTTTTCTTTCTTTCTTTCCCTTTCCTCCCTTCCTGCCTCCCTTTCTTTATCCTTCCTTCCTTTCTCTCCCTCCCTCCCTTTCTTTCTTTCCTCCCTCCGTCTTTCTTTATCCTTCCTTTTTTCCTTTCCTTCCTTTTCTTTCTTTCTTTTACTTTCCTTCCTTCCTCCCTTTCTTTCTCTTTCCTTCCTCCCTCCGTCTTTCCTTATCCTTCCTTCCTTCCTCTCTCCCTCCCTTCTTTCCTTCCTTTCTTTTCCTTCCTTCCTTTTCTTTCTTTCTTTCTTTCCTTCCTCCCTCCCCCTCTCTCTCTCTCACTCTCTTTCTTTCTTTCTTTTTCTTTTTTCCTTCCGTCCTTCCTCCCTCCCTCCCTCCCTCCCTCTCTCTCTCTCTCTCTCTCTCTCTCTCTCTCTCTCACTCACCACTCTCTTTCTTTCTTTCTTTCTTTTTTTTTTCTGGCACTTACCAGTAATCTTGGCAGATTCCAGTAAGAGTAAAAGGGGCACCACTGGAAAATATCCAAGGGCCATTTCAGGCAGATTTTTAAGGCTGTTCTGCTGTCCACCAGGATCTCAACAGCCCGAGGCCAGCATGACAGTAAAATAAAGTAGCCAATTAAAGATCTCTTCAATCTGAAACGGATTATTTTTTAAAAGAGGTTTCCTGGTTGATCCAATTGACAAGGCAGGGAGGAGTTTTCTGGACTAGTCTGGATTCTTCGCTGGGTCGCTCTTGATGTTTCTCTTTGGTTTCTGCCCAAGATGTGACTAGGTTTAATCCGTGATAGCTTAGGCGTGGTTTCTTTAAAAGCCAGGATTGTTCTCATTTTACATAACTGTTGAGGGGGGGGAGAGGGGCCCCAGACCCCTGGGAAACGCAGGGGACGTCATCTTAAAACCTTTGTGGTTTTGTTGTGTAATTCGCAGTTGCTGGCACTGCACCACGATTTGCTAAGTTCATATATCCTACCTATCGATGAAGCCACAGACAGTCCCCGGCTGACAGCCATTGGTTTAGTGACCGTTCAGAGCTAGACAGCGAATTAAGGACGGTCGCAGCATCCTCCTAGTCCTGCGGTCCCCATTTGCGACTTTCCCAGCTAGGCTTCGGCCAAGCCAAATCGATGGGGCAAGCCGGATTCACTTAACGGCCATGTGATTCACTTAACGATGGCAGCGATGTGCTTAGCAACCGTGACAAAAAGCGAGGTTGTAAAATCAGGTGTTTGGCTCGCTTAACGACGGCCTTAACAACAGAAATGCTGGTCCCAATTGTGGTTGTAGGTCAAGGACACAAGAAAGGATCTCACTCTTTCTCCTTCTCTTTCCTCTCCCTCTCCCTCTCTTTCTCTCTCCTCTCTTTCTCTCTCCTCTCTTTCCTCTCCCTCTCTCTCTTTCTTTCCTCTCTCTTTTTCTCTTTCCTCTCCCTCTCTCTTTCTCTTTCTTCTCCCTCTCTTTCCTCTTTCCTTTCCCTTTCTCTTTCCTCTCCTGCTCTTTCTTTTCTCTCCCTCTCTTTTTCTCTTCCCCTCTGTCTCTTTCCTCTCCCTCTCTCTTTCTCTCTCTCTTTCCTCTCTTTCCTCTCCCTTTCTCCCTCTCCTTCTCTTCTCTCTTTCCTCCCTCTCTCTCTTTCTCTTTCCTCTCTCTCTCTTTTTCTCTTTCTTCTCCCTCTCTTTCTTCTTTCCTTTCCCTTTCTCTCTCTTTCCTCTCCCCTTCTCTCTTTTCTCTCCCTCTTTCTTTCCTCTCCCTTTCTCTCTCCTCTCTTTCTCTTTCCTCTCCCTCTTTCTCTTTCCTTTCTTTCCTCTCCCTCTTCCTCTCTCCTCTTTCCTCTCCCTCTCTCTTTCCTTTCTCTTTTTCTTTCCTCTCCCTCTTTCTTTCTTCTCCCTCTCTCTCTTTCCTCTATTTCCTTTCCCTTTCTCTTTCTCTCTTTCCTCTCCCCCTCTTTCTCTCTCTCTTTCCTCTCCCTCTCTCTCTTTCTCTCTTTCCCGCTCTCTCTCTCTTTCTCTTTCCTCCCCACCCCTGGACTCTCTCTCTGCAACAACTTTATCTTTCAGAATCTCTGATGTTTTTGGTTTCACATGTAAAGAGCAAGAATTGCAGAAGCAGCTGATGATAACAAAAGGACGGGACTGGCAAACACACCGAACGCAGTAACTGGTTTTTCCGGATGTGTACCATACAAAGAATCATAAACTAACCACATAGGATGGGTCCATGCCACCAAAAGACGCAAATAAATAAATAAAAACCCTGATCAAGTTTAACACTCATCAAGCTGAACGTGTCGTGTGAATGCATCTCCTACTTTTTACCTGACCTGGGTGAAAACGGTGTTGTTACACCAGACAACCCACAACTGGCCGGTCCTTGCATTTATGAGAATAGAATAGAATAGAATAGAATAGAATAGAATAGAATAGAATAGAATAGAATAGAATCTGGAAGGGACCTTGGAGGTCTTCTAGTCCAGCCCCCTGCTCAAGCAGGAGAACCTATTTATGACTGTCACAGCATTCCCATAATTTTTCTCAGCAGAGGAGGGGCTCTCTTTGGCTAGAGGTGTTCTGCGGCAAGGATGCTGCTATAGTGGTAGGTAGGACCCTGCCCTGGGAAAGGGGTTGGACTAGATGACCTCTAAAGCGGCTTTCAATCTTTCCATTCCAAGATTGTGTTGTTTTTGGCTGTTCAGTTAGTAAGAGGATCAAGGCTGGGTCTTCCCCTCCTGGGTTCATTTTTAGAGTCTCATTTCCTTCTGATACCTTCCACGTTTGGGAACAAAAGCTCCATCAATGTTTCCTCATTCCATCAGTTTTAGTGGTCGCTCCCTCCCTCCCTCTCTGCCACTTTGCTTTTCAATCCCTGATCTCACCAACGACAAATAGAGATTTAGAAAAAGTAACAACTATTTCTTCTTTTCTCTTCTGGAACAAGCCGGTTTGGTGACAAACTAGCCGCAGTTGTGAGCCTTCTGGGCGTGCGTGTGTGTGTGTGTGAGTGACAAAGATGTTGAGACTCTAGAAAGAGTGCAGAGAAGAGCAACTGAGATGATCAGGGGACTGGAGGCTAAAGCATATAAGGAACGGTTGCTGGAATTGGGGATGTCTAGTTTAATGAAGAGAAGGACGAGGGGGGACATGATAGCAGCCTTCCAGTATCTCAGGGGCTGCCCCAAAGAAGAGGGAGTCAAGCCATTCTCCAAAGCGCCTGAAGGCAGGACAAGAAGCAACAGGTGGAAACTAATCAAGGAGAGAAGCAACCTAGAACTAAGGAGAAACTGCCTGTCTTTGAGAACAATTAACCAGTGGAACAACCTGCCTCCAGAAGCGGTGAATGCTCCAACACTGGACATTTTTAAGAAGAAACTGGACAGCCATTTGCCCGAAATGGTATAGGGTTTCCTGCCTGAGCAGGGGGTTGGACTAGATGACCCCCAAGGTCCCTTCCAACATTACCATCATCATCATCATCATCATCATCATCATTATTATTATTATATCGCTGGAGGTGAATTCTGCATTCATGTGAGGCCCAAGTGAAAGCAAGGTGGACAGGACAGGTATCTAAGACCAGCCCTCTACTGCAGGGATCCCTAACCCCCGGTCCGTGGACTGGTACCGGGCTGCAGCCTGCCAGCAACCAGGCCGCACAAACAAGCAAAGTCCCATCCGCGGGATACAGGCAGCACACAAAACCACGCACTCTCCGGTCCGCGGAAAAACCTCTCTCCAAGGAACTGGTCCCTGGTGCCCAAACGGTTGGGGACGTTTGCTCTACTGCAAATGGAGCTACAGTAGTCCTTGACTTATAGCCATTCATACCACTTTACAAGGCCTTCGTCAGGCCACACTTGGAATACGGCATCCCGTTGTGGTCACCACGATGTAAAATAGATGTTGAGACTTTAGAAAGAGTACAGAGAAGAGCAACAAAGAGGATCAGGGGACTGGAGGCTAAAGCATATAAGGAACGGTTGCTGGAATTGGGTAGGTCTAGTTTAATGAAGAGAAGGACGAGGGGGGGACAGGATAGCAGCCTTCCAGTATCTCAGGGGCTGCCCCAGAGAAGAGGGAGTCAAGCTATTCTCCAAAGCGCCTGAAGGCTGGACAAAAAGCAACGGATGGAAACCGATCAAGGAGAGAAGCAACCTAGAACTAAGGAGAAACTTCCTGACAGTGAGAACAATTAATCAGTGGAACTACCTGCCTCCAGAAGCTCTGAATGCTCCAACACTGGACATTTTAAGAAGAGACTGGACAGCCATTTGTCTGAAATGGCATAGAGTTTCCTGCCTGAGCAGGGGGTTGGACTAGATGACCTCCAAGGTCCCTTCCAACTTTATTATTGTTGTTGTTGTTGTTGTTGATCATCACAGAGTCAGCCAGATGTTCAGACTGGATTTGGCATTTTTGTCTACCTATCGAGTCCTTCCCAAGGACCTGGGATAGGCAGATGTGGATGTTTGATGGTGTTACAGATATCGTCGCAGGATGGAAGCAGTTCCTAGTAAGGCCGCCTTTTGCAATTGACTGATGGCGAATTTGTCAATCCCGATGATGGTGTCCAAGGGGTGCTCCAGTTGTTTTGGGATTGCACCCAAGGCGCCTATGACTATTGCTACTACCCTTGCTTGCTTTTGCCCCAGTCTTTCTATTTCTATTTGTAGGTCTTTGTATTTTGTGAGCTTCTCCAGTTCTTTTGTGTCTGTTCTGCTGTCTCCAGGCACTGCCACGTCCACTATCCAGACTTTTTGTCTTTCTTATCGACATAATTATCATTACTATCATTACTATTATTATTATTACTATTATTTTTTATTCATTAAACATGAACCTCAGTCAACTCAACATTCAAATAATAATGCCCTATTATTATTATTATTATTATTATTATTATTATTATTATTATTATTATTATGGGTCATCGCACAGTCAGCCAGATGTTCAGACTGGATTTAGCATTTTGTCTACCTATCGAGTATTATTATTATTATTATTATTATTATTATTATTATTATACCATGTGAGGTTACATCAGTACTGAAAAAAGCAACATGACCAGTTTTCACACTTACGACCGTTGCAGCATCCCCCAAGCTCATGTGATCAAAATTCAGACGCTTGGTAATCGACTCATACTTATGACGGTCGCAGTGTCCACCGGGGTCGTGTGATTCCCCTTTGGCGACCTTCCGACTAAGCAAAGTCAACGGGGAAGCCGGGTTCACTTAACGACCACGTTGCTAACTTAACAACGGCAGCAATTCACTCAAGAACTGCGGTCGTAAGTCGAGGACTACCTACCCTTCTGTAACTGAATTGTGTCAGGCGAGCAAAACTCCTGTCTGGATCCACACAACCTTCTTGCTGCATTTTGTGCCATGCTAATCTGGAGAAAGGGAAAGTGGCCACAGTACAAACACGTACACACACACACACACACACACACACACACACACACACACACAGAGCTCAGGTTTCGCTCAGACTTCTGGTGACTACAAAGACCTGCCCCTAGACCAGTGGTTCTCAACCTTTTTAATGCCGCGACCCCAACCGGTCGTAAGTCGAGGACTAAACCGGTCGTAAGTCAAAGACTACCCAACCGGTCGTAAGTCGAGGACTTTCCCTGCCCTGGAGCGCCGTGCATGTGCGGTTCCGCCCCCTGCACCGGCCAAGGCGTAGCTGGCAAATGGCAGAGACGGAGCAGGCCGACCACCAGCTGGCCCAGCCCAAGGGAGGTAAGGCAACCGCCGAAAAAGGGAAAAAAATGACGGACAAAAAAAATGGTGGACAAAAAAAATGGCGGACAGCCTTGCTTGGCGACCCTCGTGAAATGGTCGATCGACCCCAAATGGGGTCCCGACCCACAGGTTGAGAACCACTGCCCTAGATGGTTGGAAACTGATCAAGGAGAGAAGCAACCTGGAATTAAGGAGAAGCTTCCTAACATCAAGGACAATTAGCCAGTGGAACAGCTTGCTACCAGAAGTTGTGGGTGGAGGTCTTTAAGAAGAGACTGGACCGTTGGCTTGTCTGAGATGTTAAACAGGATCTCCTGCTTGAGCAGAGGGCTGGACTAGAAGACCTCCAAGGTCCCTCCCAGCTCTATTTCTGATTCTAAAAAACCCGTCTTGCAAAACAACACGGATCGTCAGCTTCCAGCTCCAGCCACAGCCCTCGGGATTTCCTGGTGGTCTCCCGCCCCTGCAGCCTAGCTAGAACTGAAGCCCTGGCCTAAAAGGGATCCCCGGATCGCGCTGCGCGATCTTAACCGAAATCAAGCGGCGAAAGCATCTCCCGCCACGTGCCGGCCGAGTCCAACGAGTGACGTCAGAGATTCGAACGCGAGCCGCAAAGTCTCAACGTTCCATCCTCGCCGGAGTTCATTCACAAAAAAAACGTCATCAGCGGGGCGGGGCTGGGGCGGGGCGGCTCCGCCTCTTTCCCCGCCCAGGGGCCGGCTGGCGTTGTGTAAGAAGCGGATCCAGCGACCGGCTGAAGATCGAGGGTGGATCCCCGGGTGAGTGATCGGCTTCTTTCCCCCGCTTGCCGGCCTCCGCTTCGCTGCCTCGTCCGCTGAGGGCCAATGAAGTCCTCCCTGGCCTGCTTGGCAAGGTTGTTGTAGGGCAGAAGCTGGAGCTCTCTCTTGGTTTTTTTTGGCACGGTCAGGGGAGGATGGGCTCTGTAGTTCTCTTTATTTCTTTTCCTTCTTTATAACATTTTCAATAATCGAGGTTGGAAGGCAGCGTTTCTCAAAGTTGGCAACTTTAAGACTCGTGGACTACGACTCCCAGAATTCCTCAGCCAGCATAGCTGGCTGAGGAATTCTGGGAGTCGTAGTCCACCCGTCTTAAAATTGCCAAGTTTGAAAAAAACGCTGCTCGAGGGCAAATTCCTGAGCTTTTTGAAGGCCCGCCCCTGTTGGTGCTGCCAACTGCAGCTGTACTGGAGCGGAGCTCGACTTGCCCAACCTGGTGGCTGCCACACCCATCATCCCCCGCAGCAGCATGATGGTCTAGCTCAGTGGTTCTCAACCTTTTTAATGCCGCGACCCCAACCGGTTGTAAATCGAGGACTAAACCGGTCGTAAGTCGAGGACTAAACCGGTCGTAAGTCGAGGACTACCCAACCGGTCGTAAGTCGAGGACTTTCCCTGCCTGGGAGCGCCGCACATGCGTGGTTCTGCCCCCTGCGCCAGCCGAGGCGTAGCTGGCAAGTGGCAGAGACTGAGCAGGCCGACCACCAGCTGGCCCAGCCCAAGGGAGGTAAGGCACCCGCCGGAAAAGGGGGAAAAAATGGCAGACAGCCTTGCTTGGCGATCCCCGTGAAATGGTCGATCGACCCCAAATGGGGTCCCGACCCATAGGTTGAGAACCACTGGTCTAGCTAGCTAGCAGATCCATCCAGAGAGGAAGCTTGGAGGAAGGGTGGCTTTAAACAGCCTGCTGATCTCTTTAGGCCTTGCTCCCCGTAGGGATCTCGTTGGAAACTCAGCTAGATTTTGGTCTGATCTAGACACGTGGTTTTTTTTCGTGCGTCTCAGAATTCAGAAACTCAGAATAACAGAATTGGAAGGGACCTTGGAGGTCATCTAGTCCAACCCCCCTGCTCAGGCAGGAAACCCTATACCATTTCAGACAAATGGCTGTCCAGTCTCTTCTTAAAAACTTCCAGTGTTGGAGCATTCACCGCTTCTGGAGGCAAGGAGTTCCACTGGTTAATTGTTCTCACTGTCAGGAAGTTTCTCCTTTAGTTCCAGGTTGCTTCTCTCCTTGATGAGTTTCCATCCGTTGCTTCTCCATCAAGGGGTCCCCAGCTGCTTACGTTTCATCCTTTTTTCTTTTTTTTTTGCAGAGACCGGTTCTTGAACTCGTGGCCATGTCTCCGAAGAGGAGGAAGCCCGGGCCAGTCATGCCTTCGTCCGACAGCTTGGAGGGAGGCAGAAAACCGGACTCTGCTGATATGGAGGCCTTGTCCGGAACGAAGAAGTTTAAATCCCAGGAAGATCCTCGAACCCAGAGCTTGGCCGAGACAGCGAAGGAAGCCCGCCTGAGCGCAGGGCTGTCCGTCGCAGAGTTCCCGTACAACAAGAAACGGGTCCGGTTGATCTCTCCAGCTCCCGAGCTGAAGGAGGGGGCTCAGGGGATCTTGTACTGGATGTCTCGCGAGCAGAGGGTTCAAGGTGAGAGTGCAGATCCCGCTTGGCGAAAACTGCAGGGTGATTGGTCCTGCTCCTGACTGCAGGGCAGGTTGAGGTTGGGTTCGCACAACCGGGCCAACCTCTTTCCTCAATTAAATTCCCTTGTTGGGGGTTTGGAGAATAGATTCAACCCTCAAGAGGTGTCAGCTGAATTAACACCCTGTAGTACTGTTTATCACCTTAGCAACTTGAAGACAGGGGGACTTCAACTCTCAGAATCCCCCAGGCGGCAGCACTGGCTAGGGTATTCTGGGACTTGAAGTCCACCCGTCTTAATAATAATAATAATAATAATAATAATAATAATAATAATAATAATAATAATAATAATAATAATAATAATAGTAATAATAGTAATAAAAAAGCTGAGCTTGAGAAACATCGCCCTATATTAACCCAGACAGAGACAAAGTTAAAACTAAGTTCGTAGAATTACATTTGCCCCAGTCTTAGGCAATGTTATAATAATAATAAAGTTGGAAGGAACCTTGGAGGTCATCTAGTCCAACCCCCTGCTCAGGCAGGAAACCCTATACCATTTCAGACAAATGGCTGTCCAGTCTCTTCTTCAAAACTTCCAGTGTTGGAGCATTCACCGCTTCTGGAGGCAGGTTGTTCCACTGGTTAATGTCTCCGCTTTCTAACTGAACCTACAACCGGAGATTTCCTGGTGGTCTCCCATCCAAAGACTAACCAGGCCTGATCTGAGACTGTGCCATCCGTATTCTTGTCTTAATGCAGCTGAGACACACGAACAAGACACAAGAACGCTTTGCTCGCACGAGGGCGGTGGCCATTTTGACTTTTTTTGACCCTTTCCGGCAGACATGTCTACTCTTTTGCTGGCGTCTCGCGGCTATGACGGTTCTCACTTGTGCCCCTTTCTTGCAGATAATTGGGCCTTCCTTTACGCCCAGCGCCTGGCCTTAAAACAGCGTCTTCCGCTGCACGTCTGCTTCTGCCTGGTGCCCAAGTTCCTGGATGCCACCATCCGCCATTTTGGATTTTTGCTCAGAGGCCTGGAGGAAGTCGATGAGGTATTGGCACCGTGGGGGGGGGGCATTGCGGGCACGGGGAGGGGAGAGACTTAGCTGCTCTCCCCCCCCTCTGTGGATTCAAAGCAAGAAAGCAAAAGAATGGCATAGTTTCAGATTTATGACCACAACTGCGCCCAAATTTCTGTTGCTAAGTGAGACACTTTTGAGTGAGTTTTGCCCCGTTTTACTAGCTTGCTTGCCACAGTTGTTAAATAATAATAATAATAATAATAATAATAATAATAATAATAATAATAATAATAATAATAATAATAATAATAATAATAAAAAGTTGGAAGGGACCTTGGAGGTCATCTAGTCCAACCCCCTGCTCAGGCAGGAAACCCTATATACCATAGTGAATCACTATGACAGTTAATGGGCTGCCCCCATTGACTCTGCTGGTTAGAAGGTTGCAAAAGGGGATCACGTGACCCGGGGACACTGCAACTGTCATAAGTACATGCCAGTTGCCGAGCCTCTGAATTTTGATCACGTGACCACGGGAATGCTGTGAAAAACCAGTCTTAAGTGCTGTGGTCGCTAAACGAATAGCTGGAAATTGAAATCACGAGATCACAGGGACTGTTTGTCGGTCGTAAGGGCGAGTATTTTTACAAGGCTGTCGTAACTTTTAAATCATTACGACGCTCAAACGAACGGCCATAAGTCGGCCATTATCTCTACATTCTGCCTGCTCTTGCCTAACCAGACGCTCTCCTCCTTCTGTCCACACAGGGTGTTGTGTTGATGATCAACATTTTGCTGTGTGTTTGTTTGTTTTCCCAATTTTCCAGGAGTGCCGGATGCTCGACATCCCTTTCCACTTGCTGATCGGTTTCGCCAAAGACAGGGTGCCCCACTTTGTGACGCAGCACGGCATCGGCGGGGTGGTGACGGATTTCTCCCCGCTCCGCGTTCCCCTGCAGTGGGTTCAAGATGTCCAAGAACAGCTTCCGAGCGATGTGCCCCTTGCTCAGGTACCAGGTTGGGGCTGGAATCGCCACGAGATAGAGGAGAGACCAGTTTTGGGGGAATCTGAAGCAAATCTGACTCCAAATTTAAATGTCCAGGGAGATTCTCAGTCCTCCAGGTCATGGTTGTCTCACAGGTGCTTTTAATAATAATAATAATAATAATAATAATAATAATAATAATAATAATAATAATAATAATAATAATAATAAAGTTGGAAGGGACCTTGGAGGTCATCGAGTCCAACCCCCTGATTTTGCTTGAAGACGTTTCACTTCTCCAAGAAGCTTCCTCAGTTCTAACTGAATGATGGAAGGATTTATACTCCTTGCAGACAGCTGGTCATTTGCCTTCTTTTATTTATGGATTTATTTGTGTAAAATTTCTATTAATATTATTATTATCTTTAGGGCAACATTTCCTAACCTGGGGGGGACTTATTATTATTTTGTTGCTTTGCTTATACGCTGAAAACGTCTGTGCCGTAGACAAATTCCTTGTCTGTATAATCACACTTGATCAAATAAAGTATTCAATTCAATTCAATTCAATAATTCAATTCAATTCAATGGTATAGGCCAGGGGTAGGCAACCTTGGCCCCTTCATGACTCGTGGACTTCAACTCCCAGAATTCCTGAGCCAGCATGGGGGAACTATGGCCCCTTCATGACTCGTGGACTTCAGTTCCCAGAATTCCTGAGCCAGCATGGGGGAACTATGGCCCCCTCATGACTCGTGGACTTCAACTCCCAGAATTCCTGAGCCAGCATGACTCAGCTTGGAAATCTCTCCCTTTCCCCTCAGCGTGGCTGGCTCAGGAATTCTGGGAGTTGAAGTCCACGAGTCATAAAAGAGCCAAGGTTGCCTACCCCTGCCATAGGTTCTCCTGCTTGAGCTGGGGGTTGGACTAGAAGACCTCCAAGGTCCCTTCCAGCTCTTTTCTAGTCAACGATATACCTCTCAGAGGTATTCAATCAAGTGGGTTAAAAATATGGCAGGTTGGTCCAGCGGGATCCATTCTGCCCAACTGGATTTTTCCCGGTTCAGCGGAGAACATAAATCTAGCCAAAAAAAGCAGACACTTGTAATTTTCAATTAACTAGAGAAGAAACCGAGGTTTTCCTACAATTTTCTTACTTCCTCGGTTTTTGATTGTGAACGCCCTTCTCGCTTTTCGTCCCCAGGTGGACGCCCACAATATTGTCCCGTGCTGGGTTGCCTCGGACAAGCAGGAATACGGGGCGAGGACGATTCGCCGGAAGATCCAGGACCGACTGGCTGAGTTCCTGACCGAATTTCCGCCTCTAGTCAAGCACCCTTTCCTTGCTGGGCTTCAAGCAGAGGTGAGGGAGGTGGCTGTGGGGCTGGATCCTAACCTGGGGGGACTTGAAGAGGGGTGGACTTCAACTCCCAGAATTCCCCAGCCAGCATAGCTGGCTGGGGAATTCTGGGAGTTGAAGTCCGCCCCTCTTCAAGTCCCCAAAATTCCATAGCATTCTACAATAGATCGCCTTCTAAAATAACCCTCCAGTGGAGTGACACTACAACTCCCATCGTCCTCCACTTGCCCCCGATAAGCTAGTCATGATTTCTAGCAACTGAGATCTCGTCCGGGTGAGATTCCTACAAACGTAGAAACATGGAAAATTGATGGGAGACAAAGGCCTAAAGTGGCCCATTGAGTCTGCCCTTGGAGTTTATTTGTTATTTGTTTTCTTGTTAATCTATTTCTTTGTTTGTTTATTATTTTGGAAGGGAGGGAGGGACGAAGGAAGGAAGGAAGGAAGGAACAAAGAAAGGAGGAAAGGAAGGAGAAGAAGGGAGTGAGGGAGGGAGGAAGGAGAGGGAAGGAGAGAAGAAGGAAGGAAGGAAGGAAGGAAGGAAGGAAGGAAGAAAGAAAGAAAGAAAGAGAAAGAAAGAAAGAAAGAAAGAAAGAAAGAAAGAAAGAAAGAAAGAAAGAAAGAAAGAAAGAAAGAAAGAAAGAAAGAAAGAGGGAGGGAGGAAGGAAGGAAGGAGAGGGAGGAAGGGAGGAAAGAAGGAAGGAAGGAAGAAAGGAAAGAAAGAAAGAAAGAAAGAAAGAAAGAAAGAAAGAAAGAGAGAGAGAGGGAGGGAGGGAGGGAGGGAGGAAGGAGAAGGAGGGTGAAGGAAGGAAGGAAGAAAAAAGGAAGAAAGGAGAGGGAGGAAGGGAGGGAGGAAGGAAGGAAGGAAGGAGAGGGGGAGGAAAAGTTGGGGAAGGAGAGGAAGGAGATGTGAAGGAGAAGGAGCGGCAGAATCTGGGGATGGAGTCAAAAAAGGAATCAGCATAGAATCCCTACATAGTCACAAGCAAATTAACTATTGGTTGAGAAGATTCCTGCGCATAGGCTTTTAGCAATAAATCACTTTAATTGAACTTTCTCCTGTGGACCTGGCCTTTAGAGCCCAACAGGAGCATTAGAGACCACCAAAATTGAGAAACTTCCTGACAGTTAGAACAATTAACCAGTGGAACTCCTTGACTCCAGAAGCGGTGAATGCTCCAACACTGGAAGTTTTTAAGAAGAGACTGGACAGCCATTTGTCTGAAATGGTATAGAGTTTCCTGCCTGAGCAGGGGGTTGGACTAGATGACCTCCAAGGTCCCTTCCAACTTTATTATTATTATTATTATTATTATTATTATTATTATTATTATTATTATTATTATTATTTCTTTCCTTGCTGCCAACCGGCATCTCCTGCAGCCCATCAACTGGGAGGCCTGCTACGCCAGCCTGCAGGTGGATCGCTCCATCAAGGAGGTGGAGTGGGCCACGCCGGGATCCGCCTCCGGGTTGAAGGTCCTCGAAACATTTGTAAAAGACAGGCTGAAGTTCTTCGGCTCTGACCGGAACAATCCCAACCGGCCGGTCCTGAGCAACCTTTCGCCCTGGTTCCACTTTGGTAAGTGTGCAGGTATAGTTAGAACAATTCACCAGTGGAACTACTTGCCACCAGAAGTTGTGGCTTAGCTCGATCACTGGAGGTTTTCGAGAAGAGACTGGACAACCGCTTGTCTGAAGTGGTATAGGCAGTCCTCAACTTACGACGGTTCGTTTAGGGACCCTTCCAAGTTACAACAGCACTGAAAAATGTGACTTATCACCGTTTTTCACAGCATCCTCAGGATCACGTGATTGAAATTCAGACGCTTGGCCACTGACTCCTATTTATGACGGTTGCAGCGTCCTGGGGTCCTGTGATCCCCTTTTGCGACCTCCTGACAAGTCAAGTCAAGGGGGAAAACTGATCCGCTTAACAACCAGGTCACTAACTTCTCAACTGCAGTGATTCACTTAACAACGGAGGCAAGAAAGGTCATAAAAGGGGGCAAATGTCTCACTTAACAAATGTCTCACAGAAATTTCGGCCTCAATTGTGGTCGTAAGTGGAGGACTGCCTGTATACGGGGAGAGGAATTGGAGCCTTTGGGAAGCCCGGCGGGCGCATTGGTTGGGAGGCTAGGCGGAGGGGAGAGAATTTGAACCCAGAACTGGAAGGCTTCCCCAATCTGATGTTCTATAAATGTATTTTAGATGGCGATTCCGAGAATTCCCCAGCCAACGAAAATGGGTTGGGCAGCGTGGTTGAGCACGCTGTAGGAATGGGGTACTCCTTGACTTACGACCACTTAGTTAGTGACTGAAATTGCAATGACACTGTTAACGGTCATGACTTACGAATGGTCCTTGCGCTTACGAATTTAAGAATAAATAACAGCCCGGAGGCTGGTAACCCTAGTCCAGGGTCTTCAAACTTGGCTCTTTTATGACTCACAGACTTCAACTCCCAGAATTCCTTAGCCAGCATGGGGAAACTATGACCCCTTCATGACTTGCGGACTTCATCCCAGAATTCTTCAGCCAGCATGGGGGAACTGTGGCCCCTTCATGACTTGCGGACTTCAAGTCACAGAATTCCTGAGCCAGCATGGGAGAACTATGGCCCCTTCATGAATGGCGGACTTCAAGTCCCATAATTCCTCAGCCAGCATGGAGGAACTATGGCCACTTCATGACTCGTGGAGTTCAACTCCCAGAATTCCTCAGCCAGCATGGGGGAACTAGGGTCTCTTCATGACTCGTGGACTTCCACTCCCAGAATTCCTGAGCCAGCATGGGGGAACTATGGCCCCCTCATGACTCGAGGACTTCAACTCCCAGAATTCCTGAGCCAGCATGGCTCAGCTTGGAAACCTCTCCCTTTCCCCTCAGCATGGCTGGCTCAGGAATTCTGGGAGTTGAAGTCCATGAGTCATAAAAGAGCCAAGGTGGCCTACCCCTGCCCTAGCCGGTAGATGGCTGACCTCTGATATGTCCCTCGTAGGTCAAGTTGCTGTGCAACGAGCCATTTTGGAGGTCCGCAAACATCGCACCAGGTACAAAGAGTCGGTGGAAGGTTTCATCGAAGAGGCTGTGGTGCGTCGGGAACTGGCGGACAACTTCTGCTTTTACAACCCAAACTACGACAAGATTGAAGGTAACGCAGCCCTCTGTCTTCTGGGTCCACACAACACAGGTAGCCCCAAAGAGCTAACTGAAGCATAAACAGGCTGGGGGATTGCCTCTGCTATGTCCTTAAAGCTGCTGTGCTGGTTGTGGGAGTGCAGCCACTGTGGTGTCAGGTGTGAATAACCGGACCCCCATGTGTAGTGTTCAAACTGGCTACTTTATTGTTCTAGGCCTATAATACAGGAATCTTCCCCGACTGGCAGATTTTGTGTGGGAAAGGCTGGAGGAAGTTCAAAAGCATTTGGTGTGTGTGTGTGTGCGTGTGTGTGTGTGAGAGAGAGAGAGAGAGAGAAAGAGAGAGAAAGAGAGAAAGAAAGAGACAGAGAGAGAGAAAGAAAAAGAGGGAGGGAGAGGAAAGAGAAAGAGAGGGAGAGAGAAAGAGAAAGAGAGAAAGGGAGAGGGAGGGAGAGGAAAAAGAAAGGGAGAGAGAAAGGGAGAGAAAAGAGAAAGAGGGAGAGGAAAGAAAAAGAGAGAAAAAGAAAGAGGGAGGGAGAAAGGGAGAGAGAGGAAAGAGAGAGAAAGAGAGAAAGTAAGATAAAGAGAGGGAGAAGAAAGAGAGAAAGAGAGAAAGAGTAAGAGAGAGAAAGAGAGAGAAGGAGAGGAAAGAGAGAGAGAAGGAGAGGAAAGAGAGAGAGAGGAAAGAAAAAGAGAGAGAGAGAGAGAGAGAGGGAGGGAGCAAGAGTTTTTCCTCTTGTGTTCATGTAATGAGTCCAGGCTAATTCCCTGTTTGATCCCTCCTTCCAACTGGGACGGTTGCTCTCCAACATCCTGACAGGTGTATAATCTTTTAAAGGTGCCTATGATTGGGCCAAGACCACACTGAAGCTCCATGCCAAGGACAAGAGGCCCTACCTGTACACCCTGGAGCAGCTAGAAGAGGGGAAGACCCACGACCCCCTGTGGAACGCTGCTCAGGTAGCTGGAAGACCAGAGGAAACATGGTTGGGAGATCCTGGTTAACTGCCTTTGACTCGGGCTCTCCTGCACGCTTGGAGGCCCTGCTTTCTGCTGGATCTCTTTATTGTAATACAGGTGGTCTTCGATTTACGACCACAACTGAGCCCAAAATTTCCGTTGCTAAGCGAGACAGTTGTTAAGCCAGCTTTGCCCCATATTATGAACTCCCTTGCCACGGTTACTAAGCGAATCACTGCAGTTGTTAAGTCAGGAACTCGGCCGTAAGGCGAAACTGGCTTTCCCGTTGACTTTAAATTACATTCAGATGCTTGGCAACCGATTCATATTTATGACGGTCACAGTGTCCCAGGGTCATGTGAAGTGACCAAAACTTGCTGCAACCACCCAGCAGACGGGCGGGGGGGGGGATAAAAACCAAACACCCCCCCACCCCACCCCCACTGCCAATCTTCAACAGAAATGCTCACAACAATGGAAACCTCGGACAGGAGAAAGAGCGCCCCTGGGTGGGCAGGCAGGTGTCTTGCTCGGCTGTGGCTTGGGGGGCACTTTTTTCAGTGCCGTTGTAACTTCGAACAGTCACTAAGCGAACTGTTGTAAGTCGAGGGCTACCTGTACTTCATCAGTTTTTTCCTTTTTGGGGGGGGGGTCATCAAGTTTTTGACCCCTTGCTAGGCGACTGGTGGTACTCGGATGTTGCCATATCCTAAAAGTGGTACAATGGGTGAAAAGGTTGAAAAGCCCTGGCCTAAAAGACCTTGAAGGGGTCCCTCCACCCCAAGGATGTCGTGGTTCTACATTAGTTCCCGCGTGACTCTTAGTTTTCTCCAAGGAAATGTGAGGCTCACCGGTTCTTCCCCATCTCAGCTCCAGATGGTTCACGAGGGGAAGATGCACGGCTTCCTGCGGATGTACTGGGCCAAGAAGATCTTGGAGTGGACCAGGTCACCAGAGGAGGCCCTGCAGTTCAGCATCTACCTGAATGACCGCTACGAATTGGACGGCCGAGACCCCAACGGATACGTAGGTGAGTCATGGAGAGGCTGGGAGGTCACCAAAGGAGGTGAGGGAAAGGACCGTAGACTTAGCCTTTGGGTTTCTCTCCGCCCCTGCTAAACAGGACAGTTGTTAAGCGAGGACTCCCTGTACAGCCAAATGACATGCGTAATAGGTGGAGTTTCATAAGTTTTGGGTTTTACTTGGAAGGCCTCTTTTCCTGAGCCTCGTGGCGACGGATCGCACAATTTCTGAGCGAGGAATCGGACCGGGAGTTGAGATCTGGGCATCTGTTGGAAATCGACGGTAGTTAGGGCACAGAGGGTGTGTGCATCCATCCGCCAACAGTGTGTGTTACTTAAACTCGGATAGATCTTTCTAGATTAGATTAGATTAGATATTTTAGATTACATTGTGAGTGCATCCATATGTCAATAGAATGTATCACTTAAACTCAGATACATCTTTCTATATATTATTATATTATATTATATTATATTATATTATATTATATTATATTATATTATATTATATTATATTATATTATTATATTGTTATATATTGTTTATTATATTATATTATATTATATTATATTATATTATATTATATTATATTATATTATATTATATTATATTATATTATATTATAATATTATTAGATAGATATTAGATTAGATTATGCTATATTATATACTATACTATTATATACTATATTGATCATACTATATTTATATTATATTAGATATATTTAACTATTGATCATACTATATTAATTATATATTATATTATGCTGTTATATATTATACTAGTATATACTATATACTATAGTGATCATACAATAGAATGTATCACTTAAACTCAGATACATCTTTCTATATATTACATTACATTACATTACATTATATTATATTATACTATATTAGATATTACATATTTTACTATTGATCATACTACATTAATTATATATTATATTATATATTATATATTTTACTATTGATCATACTATATTGATCATACTATATGTTTATTATATTATATTACATTACATTACATTACATTATATTACATTACATTACATTATATTACATATTATTATATTATATTATTATTATTACAATACCATTTGTCTGAAATGGTATAGGGTTTCCTGCCTGAGCAAGGGGTTGGACTAGAAGACCTTTAAGGTCCCTTCCAACTCTATTATTCTGTTATACATTGCATTACATTATATTACATTATAATATATTTTAGATTAGATTGGGTGTGCATCCATACTTCAACAGAGTGTGTCACTTAAACTCAGATCGCTCTTTCTAGATTAGATATTAGATTATGGATTGGATTGGAGAAGATGGGATTAGACCAGACCCTTGATTTGTCCAAGTGTGGCTACTCTTGTTTTTTCTCTCTCTCTCTCTCTCTCTCTGCTAGGCTGCATGTGGTCGATCTGTGGGATCCACGACCAAGGATGGGCTGAATGGGCCGTCTTTGGCAAAATCCGCTACATGAATTATGCCGGTTGCAAGAGGAAGTTTGATGTTGCCCAGTTTGAGCGCAAATATAGTCCTCAATGCTTCCCCCAGTAGCCTTGCTGGAAGGCCACCCTCCACGCTGGCGGACACCTGCTTCTCTCCTTGTTGTAAAGGACAAGAGCAATAAAGACACTCACTGTTGCAGAGGAAACGCAAGCTTGATCTACAGGCTAGAAACCAGGAGATGGGGAGTTCTAGTTCCACCTTAGGTATAAAAGCTGACTAGGTGACTTTGGGCCAATCACCAGGAGACGGTGAGTTCTAGTCCCACCTTAGGCATGGAAGCCGACTGGGTGACTTTGGGCCAATCTTTCCAGAGTCTCAACATCTTTTTTATATCGTGGTGACCAAAACTGGATGCCTTATTCCAAATGTGGCCTTACCAAGGCCTTGTAAAGTGGTATTAACGCTTCACCTGATCTTGATTCTATCCCTCCGTTGATGCAGCCCAGCACTGTGTTGGCTTTTTGGGCAGCTGCAGCCCACGGCTGGCTCCTATTGAAGTGATTGTCCACTAGGACTCTGAGGTCCCTCTCACAGTTACTACTATTGAGCAAGGCACCCCCTATACTATACCTGTACATTTGGTTTTTCTTGCCTAAATGTAGAGCCTTACTTTTTTCACCACTGAATTTCATTTTGTTAGATGGCACTCAATGTTCAAATCCTGTCCAGATCCTCCTGTATCTTAAACCTGTCTTCTGGAGTGTTGGCTATTCCTGCCAGCTTACAAACGGTTGTAAGTCAAGGACTACATCATTTGGGAGGGACCGGTAACAGTGACCAATCCACCAAGCATTTCCCGTGAATTTATTGTGTGAAGCACTCCACCAACATACCAGAGATGCAGCCTGAGTATTATTATTAGTTTTATTACTGATGACATTTCCATGGTTACACTTTACTGGAATAACGGATGGATTTCCAGGTTCAACCATGTTCCTCTTAANGCAGACTTCCACTCCCAGAATTCCTCAGCCAGCTTGGGGAAACTATGGCCCCTTCATGACTCGCGGACTTCAACTCCCAGAATTCCTGAGCCAGCATGGGGGAACTATGGCCCCCTCATGATTAGCCGACTTCAACTCCCAGAATTCCTGAGCCAGCATGGGGGGACTATGGCCCCTTCATGACTCGTGGACTTCAACTCCCAGAATTCCTCAGCCAGCATGGGGGAACTATGGCCCCTTCATGACTCATGGACTTCAACTCCCAGAATTCCTCAGCCAGCGTGGGGGAACTATGGCCCCCTCATGACTCATGGACTTCAACTCCCAGAATTCCTCAGCCAGCGTGGGGGAACTATGGCCCCCTCATGATTAGCCGACTTCAACTCCCAGAATTCCTGAGCCAGCATGGGGGGACTATGGCCCCTTCATGACTCGTGGACTTCCACTCCCAGAATTCCTGAGCCAGCATGGGGGAACTGTGGCCCCTTCATGACTCGTGGACTTCCACTCCCAGAATTCCTGAGCCAGCCTGGCTCAGCTTGGAAACCTCTCCCTTTCCCCTCAGCATGCCCGGCTCAGGAATTCTGGGAGTTGAAGTCCATGAGTCATAAAAGAGCCAAGGCTGCCTACCCCTGCCCTAGCCGGTAGATGGCTGACCTCTGATATGTCCCTCGTAGGTCAAGTTGCTGTGCAACGAGCCATTTTGGAGGTCCGCAAACATCGCACCAAGTACAAAGAGTCGGTGGAAGGTTTCATCGAAGAGGCTGTGGTGCGTCGGGAGCTGGCGGACAACTTCTGCTTTTACAACCCAAACTACGACAAGATTGAAGGTAACACAGCCCTCCGTCTTCTGGGTCCATGCTACACGGGTAGCCCCAAGGACCTAACCGAAGCATAAGCAGGCTGGGGGAAGGCCTCTGCTATGTCCTTAAAGCTGTTGTGCTGGTTGTGGGAGTGCAGCCACTGTGGTGTCAGGTGTGAATAACCGGACCCCCGTGTGTAGTGTTCAAACTGGCTACTTTATTGTTCTAGGCCTATAATACAGGAATCTTCCCCGACTGGCAGATTTCCTGTGGGAATGGCTAGAGGAAGTTCAAAAGCATTTGGGGGGGGGGTGTACGTGTGTATATGTGAGACAGAGAGAGAAAGAAAGAGAGAGAGAGGGAGAGGAAAGAGAGAAAGGGAGAGAGAGAGGGAGAGGAAAGAAAGAGACGGAGAGGAAAGAGAGAAAGAGAAAGGAAGAGAGGAAGAGGAAAGAGAAAGGGAGAGGAAAAAGAGAGAGAGAGAAAGAGAGGGAGAGGAAAGACAAAGAGAAAGAGGGAGAGGAAAGAGACAAAGAAAGAGACGGAGAGGGAGAGGAAAGAAAGAGACAGAGAGGAAAGAGAAAGGGAGAGAAAGGAAGAGAGGGAGAGGAAAAAGAAAGAGAGAGGAAAAAGAGAAAAAGAGAAAAAGGGAGAGGAAAGAGAGAAAGAGAGGGAGAGGAAAGAGAAAGAGACAGAGATGAAAGAGAGAAAGGGAGAGAAAGGAAGAGGGAGAGGAAAGAAATAGAGGGAGAGGAAAAAGAGAAAAAGAGAGAAAGGAAGAGGGAGAGGAAAGAAAGAGAGGGAGAGGAAAAAGAGAAAAAGAGAGAAAGGGAGAGAAAGAGAGGGAGAGGGAAGAGAGAAAGAGACAGGGAGAGGAAAAAGAGAGAGAGAGGAGAGGAAAGAGATAAAGAGAAAGAGAGGGGGGAGAGGAATGAAAGAGACGGAGAGGAAAGAGAAAGGGAGAGAAAGGAAGAGAGGGAGAGGAAAGAGAAAGAGAGGAAGAGGAAAAAGAGAGAAAGAGAGGGAGAGGAAAAAGAAAGAGAGAGAAAGAGACAGGGAGAGGAAAGAGAGAGAGAGAGGGAGAGGAATGAAAGAGACGGAGAGGAAAGAGAGAAAGGGAGAGAAAGGGAGAGGAAAAAGAGAGAGGGAGAGAAAGGGAGAGGAAAGAGAGAAAGAGAGAGGGAGACAAAAAAGAAAGAGACAGACAGAGGGAGAGGAAAGAGAGAAGAGAGGAAAGAGACAAAGAGAGAGAAAGAGAGAGAGAGAGAGGGAGAGGAAAGAGGGAGGGAGGGAGGGAGAGGGAAGAAAGAGAGGGAGAGGAAAGAGAGAAAGGAAGAGAGGGAGAGGAAAGAGAAAGAGGAAGAAAAAGAGAGAGAGGGAGAGGAAAGGGAGGGAGGGAGAGGAAAGAAAGAGACAGGGAGAGGAAAGAGAAAGGGAGAGAAAGGAAGAGAGAGAGAGGAAAGAGAAAGAGAGGGAGAGGAAAAAGAGATAAAGAGAGAGGGAGAGGAAAGAGAGAGAGAGAGAGAGGAAAGAGAGAGAGAGAGAGAGAGAGAGAGAGAGAGAGAGAGAGAGAGAGAGAGAGAGAGAGAGAGAGAGAGAGAGCTTGTCCTCTTGTGTTTATGTAATGAGTCCAGGCTAATTCCCTGTTTGATCCCTCCTTTCAACTGGGACGGTTGCTCTCCAACATCCTGACAGGTGTATAATCTTTCGAAGGTGCCTATGATTGGGCCAAGACCACACTGAAGCTCCATGCCAAGGACAAGAGGCCCTACTTGTACACCCTGGAGCAGCTAGAAGAGGGGAAGACCCATGACCCCCTGTGGAACGCTGCTCAGGTAGCCGGAAGACCAGAGGAAACATGGTTGGGAGATCCTGGTTAACTGCCTTTGACTCAGGCTCTGTGGCGTTCCTTCTCCTGCACGCTTGGAGGCCCTGCTTTCTGCTGGATCTCTTTATTGTAATACAGGTGGTCTTCGATTTACGACCACAACTGAGCCCCAAAATTCCGTTGCTAAGCGAGACAGTTGTTAAGCCAGCTTTGCCCCATATTATGAACTCCCTTGCCACGGTTACTAAGCGTATCACTGCAGTTGTTAAGTCAGGAACTCTTTGCCGTAAAGCGAAACTGGCTTCCCCGTTGAGTTTGAATTGTCAGAAGGTCCGCAAAAGGTGATCACGTGACCCGGGCACACGGCGAGCATCATAAATACGTGCCCGTTGAGTCCAAATTTTGATCACGTGACCACGAGGACGCTGCGACGTTTCTAAGTGTGAAAAAACGGTCATCAGTCACTTTTTCGATGGCGTTTAGTGACCGTTTGAAAGGTCGCTAAACAAACGGTTGTAAATTGAGGGACTACCCGAACAAGCTCTGGATCGTTCAGAAGGACCAAGCAGCCAGAGGACTGTTTTGGGGCATATCTAATTAATTTATGCCCATCTTTAATCTGATATGGGTTGGCAGCTCATAGCTTAGATGTTTTCAGAAGGAGATAGGAGGACATCTGTAGAGGAAGCTTACAAACTGAGTTGTAGGGGGGACTTCTGAGACGTTGCTGTGATGGCCAGCTTCTCTGGAGCATCCCCTTGGGACTATTCAGCCCTAAGCAAATCAGATGGACATCAACCTCAAGGAAGATTCTAGAAAAGGAATCATCCAGGTTGGAATTGCAAGCGTGAGGAAAAGAAGCTGATTATGAGAAGCGAGTAGCGTTTTAGAATCAGAATAGAGCTGGAAGGGACCTTGGAGGTCTTCTAGTCCAGCCCCCTACTCAAGCAGGAGACCCTATATATCATTTCAGACAAGTGACTGTCCAGTCTCTTCTTAAAAACCTCCAGTGATGGAGCACCCACAACTTCTGGTGGCAAGCTGTTCCACTGGTTAATTGTCCTCGCTGTCAGGAAATTCCTCCTTAGTTCCAGTTTGCTTCTCTCCTGGATTAGTTTCCATCCGTTGCTTCTTGTCCTGCCTTCAGGTGCTTTGGAGAATAGGTGGACCCCCCTCCTCTTTGTGGCAGCCCCCCAAATACTGGAACACTGCTATCATTTCCTCCCCTAGGCCTTCTAGTAGTTTGTTAAAAATAAGTTGTGGCAGACAAGAGTTGCTGCTTTTTTTGACCAAGTGACTAGATTAGTAGACGAAGGGAATGCTGTGGATGGAGCATAGTTGAACTTTATTAAGATGCCTGATAAGTGTACAGCTTCCTTGTTGCTGGGGAATTAAAAAGAGCGCAAAGAAGAGTAACCGAAGGGCTTGGAGGCTAAATTCTGTGAAGAACGGTGAAAGGAACTGGGTATACTGTCAAAGTTCCTACTGACGAACCCAATCAAGCGAACACCTTTGAGACATTCCGCTCTCTTAATGTAAAACTTTAATGTAAAACTTTAGGTGTACATCATTTCGGCATGTATGAAATCAAAACCAGCTCAAGCCAAACCCCTATAGTCAAAGTATAGAATCCCCCCCCTCCCGTCCTTGAACAGGTCACATTGCCCAGGTTAGGTGTAAATATATTGTTATGAGAAAATGTCTCTGAGTCGGGTCAGACACCTGGTGAATCGTCCTTGATTCTCGTGGTCTGCCTTCTTTATCTCTGTAGCCTGCGTTGAATTTTCCCCATCCTCCCAGTCTCTTCTTAAAAACTTCCAGTGTTGGAACATTCACAGCTTCTAGTGGCAAGCTGTTCCACTGGTTTATTGTTCTCTTAGGTTAATTCTAGGTTGCTCCTCTCCTTGATTACTTTCCATCCGTTGCTTTTTGTCCTGCCCTCAAGGGCGTTGGAGAATAATTTAAACCCTGATGGGGTTATAAGGCCCATCACTGGGAGTTTTCAAACAAAGATGGGTTCTTCCACCCCAAGGATGTCGTGGTTCTACATTGGTTCCCGCTTGACTCTTAGTTTTCTCCAAGGAAATGTGAGGCTCACCGGTTCTTCCCCACCTTCCATCTCAGCTCCAGATGGTTCACGAGGGGAAGATGCACGGCTTCCTGCGGATGTACTGGGCCAAGAAGATCTTGGAGTGGACCAGGTCACCAGAGGAGGCCCTGCAGTTCAGCATCTACCTGAATGACCGCTACGAATTGGACGGCCGAGACCCCAACGGATACGTAGGTGAGTGATGGAGAGGCTGGGAGGTCACCAAAGGAGGTGAGGGAAAGGACCGTCGACTTAGCCTTTGGGTTTCTCTCCGCCCCTGCTAAACAAGACAGTCGTTAAGCGAGGACTCCCTGTACAGCCAAATTACATGCGTAATAGGTAGAGTTTCATAAGTTTTGGGTTTTACTTGGAAGGCCTCTTTCCTGAGCCTCGTGGCAATGGATCGCACAACCTCTGACCGAGGAATCGGACCGGGAGTTGAGATCTGGGCATCCGTTGGAAACCGACGGTAGTTAGGGCAGGGAGGGTGTGTGCATCCATACGCCAACGGCGTGTTACTTAAACTCGGATAGATCTTTCTAGATTAGACTAGATTACCCCCCCAGATCCGGGTGATTCCGGATCTCCTGACTTTCCGCCGCGCCCTCAAGACATGGCTTTTCCAGCAAGCGGGCCTGGCCTAGGGTGGATTTTAAATCGGGTTCATTTTTTAGAAAATTTTAAATGTCACAACTTAAAATATTTGGGTTTTAATTGGTTTTATTTGGCGGGGATTGTGGGTTTGTTTTTGTTTTAAAAAATGTTGTGAGCCGCCCTGAGTCCTTCGGGAGAAGGGCGGGATACAAATTGAATAAAATGAAATGAAATGAAATTAGATTAGATATTTTAGATTACATTGTGAGTGCATCCATATGTCAATAGAATGTATCACTTAAACTCAGATAATCTTTCTATATATTATATTATGTTATGTTATGTTAAATTTTAATATTGATCATACTATATTAATTATATATTATATTATGCTGTTATATATTATACTAATATACTATAGTGATCATATTATACTGTATTTATATTATATTAGATTAGATTAGATATTACATATTTTACTATTGATCATACTATATTAATTATATATTATAGATTATATTATGCTATATTATATACTATACTATTATATACTATATCAATCATACTATATTTAGATTAGATTAGATATATTTTACTATTGATCATACTATATTATATTATGCTGTTATATGTACTATTATATACTATAGTGATCATACTATATTTATATTATATTATATTACATTACATTACATTATATATTATGCTATACTATATTAGATATTCTACTACTGATCATACTATATTATATTATGCTGTTATATATACTATTATATACTATAGTGATCATACTATATTTATATTATATTATATTACATTACATTACATTAT